TGAAATCCGGAGAACGAGCAGGCCATGCAATAGGACCTCCACGACCAATCCATTTATTTGCAAAGTGTTGATTGAAAAATTGCCTAGCTACTCGGCTAAAATGCGGCGGAGCCTCATTATGCATAAACCGCATACCGCATTTTAAATCAACACTTTGCAAATAAATGGATTGGTCGTGGAGGTCCTATTGTACGGCCTGCTCGTTCTCCGGATTTGAATCCATTAGTATATATACATTTAGATATTTCGAGCATGGTTTGTGACTATAATACTACTATACTTTGAATATTTTGGACGATTTTTTTTCGGTATATTTAAAGCACAAATTCTCACAGTTGATATATTTAATTTAATTTCATTTATTTCTTATACACGGGACGAAATCTCTTTAATGCAGAACAGAAAATATAATGCAGCGTACATACCTGATTAATCAATTATAGATATATATATATTAGACTATATAAACTTGGATACAGGTCCACAAAATCCAAGAATTAATTTTCTGCCCCAAGAAGAACCGAAGAAAAGGAACAAATCTCATGAAAAGATTCGGATTTCCTGGATACGTTGTGAGAGCTGCACGCAAATATAATCCCGCATGCGTTGGACGTGAGTCAGCCTCTTATTTGCTTGATGAATGATTTAGCCTCGATCTGTCTCTCTCTTTTCATCGATATCTCGCGCCCCTGCTCGCTAACGAGGGCGAGAAAGCGAACTTCCCGCAAACGAGAAACGAAGACAGAAGAGAGGGTGGAAATCGTGGTCCATCGTGGCGATTCGAGTAACGGAGGGTGGTTAGAGAGAGAGAGAGAGAGAGAGAGAGAGAGAGAGATCGTTCGCGGAAAGGAACGTGGGAGACGCGGAGCAGAGGAAAGAAAGTGTAGCTGGCGCTAACTAAGGGCGTCGGCTAATCAATATCATCAGAGAATGGCCGCTGACCTCCAGCCGACCAGTGGACCTTCCATTCTTCCTCGATACTTATGCCAACTTCCACGCGAGATCACCACGAGAGTCGATCTTTGTTTCTTCTCTTCGATTTTCGTCTCGCGATTTCTCGAGAATTTGCATCGATATTAAAACTATTCAATCAAATATCACCAGTTCGTAAATTTTCGTGGATATTTTCTGCATTTTTAGAGATCTCCAAATATAAAATATAGAATATTATTAAACATAAAATATAAATAGTACTTCTCGTTATTTTTATCCTCTTGCATAATTTATTTTAATATCAGAGCAAATAGGGACAGGCATACCAATACTCTTTCCTTGGATTTTAATTTCTCTGAATACAGAAATCTTGTATTTTTGTTTGTCGATAATACTGCTTAATTAGCACAGCGAACACGCGCGTAGATTAGAGCCGGCGGAATAATTAACAGGCGCAGTCTGAAGATAATTATTCAGGATCGGTCGATGCATGATCGTGAGCTATCTTTATTTAGTAATTAATAGTACTGGTAATGATGCCGGATAATTGGACGCTCCTTTTCCTTCTGAGACTCTTTCATTGGAGAAATGAAAGTATCGAACGTTGCGCATTCCCTTCTAAATAATATATTATATTAATCATGGGCCGCGTCTGGAGTTGCGCAATAATTGATCGCCTCTGGTAATTACGACGGGCTCGGCCCGCGAATCGGAGAGATTCCGATCACTCGCGATGCATCCACGAAGCACAAATGCATATAAAGATATTCTTGCGAATATCACGTTGGTATTTTAATCTACTGCATGACAGATATCGTTAGACTGGCAGAAATCGGTTTCAATCGAACACTAGTGCACGAAAATATTCGGTATCTCGGTAAAAAGATATGAAATACTGTTATATTTATCTGGAATACAGGGAAAGGTTAAATCATTTCAATTCAACTCGTGAACACTAAAGATTTGGATAACTTTGAATATTTCCGTTCGATCGAAGACTTTTTATCAAGGGTGTATAGGTGACTCAAGCTTCAGCTTCAGGTTCAATCTAACTCTATAATTGCATATATTTTGAACCTAATCAACAGTAATATTCGAATGTTTTCGAAAACTTTCTGCCACAGATACAAGTATGTATTTAATTGATATTTTTAATCTTTCTTACTTATTTATCTCATGTTTGATATCGTAACAAAATAACAAATATACCACAACGATGTGCGAAAACGAATTCGAAATGTCAAACGAAAATCATTTAACAGACGCGTCGCTGAGAATTTCGAAAATTGCAGAAAATTCGATACACCTCGTAGAGAAAGTGGTTGGCCAGGAGCTGAGAACGTTGTACGGCCAGACAAATAGTAATTAGACACTGCAGGCTGGAACAATATCCAGAGGCCGGCATTGTTCCCAGAAATTAAGGGAAACGAGGGAAAGCCGGGAAAACTGGCAGAAATAGGGGATTCGGAGGGTTGCTAATTACGCGGACTCGTGAAGGGGAGAGAAGCCATTTTCTGCGTAGGCACAAAGACCCCCAGCGTTATATTAATACAGAAAGAAAGGGACGGGGAATTTGTTTCGGCAACTACTTTTGCAATTTGATCCTGATGCTCGATAGCGTTACTCGTTTCTAGGAATAATTCCCGAGTCCTTCTTCTTGTTGTTCTCTCCGATTGACAAACGCGTAAATCATCGTTCATCTCGTTACTCGTGCCAGGAATTAGATGATCACGTTTACCAATATCGAAGAGGAATAAATGAATCGCAACATTTTGTAGTGTACTATGAACAGGCGGCACTAACACTTTGTATATTATATATTACACGAACTGAAGATTCGAATTATATATATTTGTATTATATATTATATATTACAGGAGGTTTTATTTAATATCTGAGTGCTCGTTCTGTCCAATTGACAGAAACATCAACTTGTTACATGTATCAAGGATTGGGTATCAATACGAAAAGAGATAAGGACAATTAAACATGAAAAAGATAATTTTTAACATTATACAATATGTTGTATGTTTACCAAGAACTAGATATAATAATTAGATTTATTAAAATATGAAAAGATGATTTTAATACTCTGTTGGTCAGTGTATTTTTCTGCTCGTTGTTCAGCAAATCAATGTTCGATTTTTGTTCGATTTTACAGGTAAAGTTTGGATAGGTGATAACGAGGTCGCGTGGCGGACCGAACAGTCTTTTAAGAGGACCTCACCCCTAAATCCTTCCACCACCACGACTACCACGACAACGACAGGTGGTGGAGCACTGGCACACCCCCACCTGTCACCACCTATTGCTGCCCCCGTAACCACTCCCGATCATAGAAGTCCCAGCAGCCTCCACGTGAAACTCGGGATCTCTCCTGGTGAGTCAAAATTTCTATACATTTCTCGTCAATTCTTTCGCACGCGAAAAATACCATAGAGTGCAGATCGATAATATAGTTGAAATAACTATCAATGTAACCTTAGTTTGAACTAAAATACATGAAAGGAGAAGAAAAGGGTGACAAATAATTCGTCTTTCTTGTAATAATTATCAATGTAACATTGGTTTAAACTAAAATACTTGGAAGGAGAAGAAAAGGGTGACAAATAATTCGTCAAACGTCTGTCTTGAAATACAGTTGAAATATAAAACTATCAATGTAACTTTAGTTTATACTAAAATACTTGGAAAAAGAAGAGGGTGACAAATAATTCGTCAAACAGACGTCTTTCTTGAAATATAAAACTATCAATGTAACTTTAGTTTAAACTAAAATACTTGGAAAGAGAAGAAGAGGGTGACAAATAATTCGTCAAACGGAGGTCTTTCTTGAAATATAAAACTATCAATGTAACTTTAGTTTAAACTAAAATACTTGGAAAGAGAAGAAGAGGGTGACAAATAATTCGTCAAACGGAGGTCTTTCTTGAAATATAAAACTATCAATGTAACTTTAGTTTAAACTAAAATACTTGGAAAGAGAAGAAGAGGGTGACAAATAATTCGTCAAACGGAGGTCTTTCTTGAATTATAGTTGAAATAACTATCAATTTAAATAACTATTAAACTAAAATACTTGGAAAGAGGAAAGAAAGGGTGACAAACAAACCATCGTCAAATCTCGTCAAATGGAGATCTTTTTTGAAAAGCTAGTCAGCTAAAACTGAACGAACGTGAAAATTGTGACGATATTTGGGTAGGAATATTTGACAGTTGGGATCCAGCAGAAGGCAGCTAAGTGCTGGGCAAAACGATCGAGCAAATCCGTAATAACTTATGCTTGCAAATACGCGATAAGATCGAGCGGGTGGCGGATCGAGAAAGAGAATCGCTCCGGACGGAGAACGGTGGCAGCACTCCGAAAAACCGGAGGGTCAGCGGCTTAAAGCGGCCTTAAAGCGGGTCTCTTTAAATAATGCAATAAGCTTGATGTCATTTGCCGGACAATGGTGGTGGGGCAGTTCCTTTTAGGGAAGATGGTCCATCGAAATTGCCCCTCGCAGGTGCTCGCTTCCGACCCTCGGCCAAGCGGCTTCCGCCAATCACGATGCCTCGATTCGCGATGCTCGTCCCGTTTTCACTCGCGCCGATAATTGCCAGCGATAACCATTATTGTCTTCATGCGGCGTTACTTCGGTTTCGCAATTTATTCAACTGCTTGTTTTCGAACTTTTTGCGAAAGTGGGCAATTCGTTCGGCCGAATTTCAATCTCGCGTACATTCTTCTTTCAAGGGGAATCGAAAACGTACGAATGTCTGTGAGAATTGCTCATATACTCTGGAAATGATACCTTCGGTATGTTAAAATTTCAATGGAAATAACAATTGTCTTATATTTACATATAAGATCCGATAGACTGGATGATTATTTCAACGAGATTTTTAGAGTTTCTTTATGCGTGATAACTTTAGTTATTTATATTTAAAGAAATCATCTTTATTTCTTCTTACTTGCGATCGAAACGCGTCAGGTGTTTATAAAAATAAAATCCGGACAGTGAACCCGTTTTATTTCCCATTTATAACTTATATCAAATTCTGTATATTTATTTTAAATTGGCATACTATTATGGAATACGTACGCTGAAGTTCAACAATATTAGTACGAGAGAGACAATATTGTACAAAATGAAAATTATTACAGATGTAATAATTAAGAAACTACACACGTATATTAATCACAATTAAAACCACGATAGAAGGATGTGGTAAAATTGCCGGACGAAGAATAGTGGAATAATCTCGCGTTTAATTAAAAGTTAATTTACGCTGAAATAGAAGAGGGCAATAAGAAGGAATGGAATAATCTAACGTAAGTGAGACCGGCCGGAGGCGTTGCGCTGGAAGTGCGGCATCGCCGCTATCGATCCGAACCGGAAGCCGGCCCAACAATGTGAAGGAAGGCGGATTCGCTCCGTTGGAACGGTGGATCCTTTCGTTTGCTTAAATAAACATTGCTCGAACAATAGCGCGCGGTGGCCCACTGGATCGGGGGGAGGCCTGTTTCGCCGTGGATAGCCGCCGCGAGCAGCAGCGAGCACCAGAGGAAGGAACCACGGCCGATTCCTCTTCCTCTTTTCCCGTGGAAAAGAGAGGAAGCCCGCGATGTTTAATGCATCGTTCAACATTTCCATGTCAAACATCGCTTTGACTCGCGGAATTTAAAGCCGTCTGGTGGCCGGTTGCACGAATACACACACACACACACACACGGACGAGCACGGAGAGGACCAGAGAGGAGAGGGAAGGGGAGGAGATTGCGTGTGTATGTGTGTGTGTGTGTGTGTGTGTGTGTGTGTGTGTGTGTGTGTGTGTGTGTGTGTGTGTGTGTGTGTGCGAGCTGATGGGAAAAACCGGCCATCTTTATTTACCGTGGAGCCGCCGCTGGACAAGGTGCGCCGAGGCTCGATAAGACCGCCGATCGATAAGGGTCGAAAGTTGAAAGCGCGGCTGTAACGCGAGATAACCTAACGTCCTCCTTCGATTAGCTCGCGAGGGTGTTTTTAGATCGAGGGGTGGGGGATGGGGGGGGGGAGCGTGTATTTAGACGAAGTGACGTCTCGCGTCTCTTGTACACTGCACGGACAAATTGCCGTGTCTTGTAATGTCGTGTTTCTTCATCTTTCATGAAAGAGCAATTCTACAATCTAATGTGTATTGCCCTAGATTCTTGGTAATTTTCTACTTTGTATCGAAGTATGTGTGTATTGTTTTCCACCCTTTTCACGAATGGGAATAATTCTTTTATTTCTTTAGTAAGATTGATAAATACAAAGTCTTCGTTAATAAATTTCTGATTATTTTCGTGTATTAAATTTGATACTGCGGTCGCCATTAGGAAACATGACGATTTGAAAGAGTGAAATTATTTGATTTTCAAGTATCGATATTCAAGTATCAAGTATCGATATTCTTCCCTTTTTATCTGAATGACGGTGTAGGCGAAGGACGATGTATAGTAAAAGCGGTATTTCGATCGTAGTCTCAGCTTTAAGAGCGGACACAGGGCGAAGAGACGCGGTCCTAGTCTATTTGCCTCGCAAAGCTATCCCGCCTAGCTGCCAAGTGTGTTTATTCGGTATATCAATAAGGACGAAGTGGACGAAGTTCCCCAAGGGTTTCGTCCTCTCTCGCTGCTCGCCTTTTCGCCGGACAGGCTTGATAACATTATGTTTCTTGCGCCGACATATGCACTGGCCGGTTTTTGAAGAATGAGGGACAGAACCCTAAAACGATTGTAGCGAACCTAACCCACCGGTGGACACATGTCGAAACGATGATCTTTCCGTCTCTGAAAGCTCTATGAACTCCCCCCTGGACGGACCTGTGCCGAAACTATAAATCATTGGTATAATTAAAAAAAAGGAGTCGAGGGGTTCGTAACTCGACCCCAAAATTCGAAAAAGGAACATTGCTTGCGATTCGACGCCGAGAATTTTATAAATGTCCGTACGAAACGTTGGATGTTAACACTGTAGTGTAGAATTTTCACCAAATTACATTTATCGTAATTGTTAAAACGTCCAATAAGTAATATTTTCATTGTAATTTTTTGTGAATATTTAAAACAATTAAACTACACACATACACTAGACAATTAGAAAGTATAATTATATTTATAAATTAGAAGAAAATATACGAAATTCGCGAGTATTTAAAGAATATTTCATTCGTCAGAACGATTATTGATACTAAATTTTCAATTGAACAACTTTTAATCGGACGACTGAAGCTGTCCAAAATTGCCCGATTAACTGGTTGTTTAAAAATCGCTCGCAGATGAATTGCGGACAAATGCCTCTTAAGAAGTAATCTTCGAAGTCAGTGAACTGTGTAACGTTCTGTCTGCTAGTGTGTAAATTACACTGTCCGGTTACGGAACGATCTTTTCTTGCTGTTCTCGGATGTATCTGTCCCTCGGGACTATCATTCTTCTCCCTGGGATCACCCTCTACCTTCCAAGGTATTTAAATTCCGTTTATTCGGCCAACCCTGGTTGAATTATTTCGCGCGTCAATTTATCTCTCGGTTCTTTATTTTATCAAAGTCCAACAGCGTCCCGCAATTCATATTTTTACGAATGTAATTAGAAAAAGAATGTTACCTTGCTCGCTAAATGTCGACGAGTGAAATATATTTTTTACGTATTTTGTTCAAATTTCATATTTCCTAAGACAAACATCTCCTGTAATGTATGAACGATATATAAAATTTCACGCTGTTCCGCGCGAAAATTAAAAGTTGAATTTTAAAGTTTCGAAGCTCGGCTGACTCAAGTAATATTATCATCGTGCCCCTCGCTCGCGAGTTCGCTGGCAACGTCCCGTTCGCGGGTTTAATTGAATTTTCGTGCTCGTTCGAGAGTCGCGCGGATTGGACAGCGAAGGCGAGAGCTTTCAGCGCAGTTCGAAACAATTCGACCGGTCATAAAACTTGCGTGGAAACTTCGCTCCAACTATAAATCCGGCTTCCTAACTGCGTGACGATAAATCACGCGACTTACGCGAGAGAAAGAGAATGAGAAAGGGGTGAGAACGTTAGCCCGGCGGAAACTGCGAAACTCGACGCGTAGATCTTTCCCCTTCGATTCACGTCTCGTACGAAATTCCTACGTAGAGGATCGATCCCCTTCTTTCGCCCTCCTTTTCCCATTATAATTTCATTTTCAATATTAAATATAAAATTAATGTTTAATAAAATTTTCATTCTATTTGGTTGCTTTAATATATTTATATTTACTATTAATTTTTATATTATATTAATATATATGTATATATGTTTAAATAGCTTATATATATAGAGAGCATAATATTGAAAATATTAGTGAAATTAACAATTTTTTTATATCGAAAATATAATGTTTTAAATAAACTGTAT